AATTGATTCAATAGAGAAAAAGAACACTGCAGCTGCTTGTAGTTCTATTTGTTCCAGTAAAATATGTTAGGTGCTGGGCTTAATAGAAAGTCAGAAAGGGAAGGGCTTCTTAAGAAAGCACTACAAAGTATGTTAGGGAAGCCAGTCATCGCTTGGGTTTGCGAAAGAAGTCCCAATAAAAATTTAACCTTGACACTCCTTTTTGTCCTCAGCAGAATCCTCTTCAGGAAGCCAAAACCAGTTGATTGGCATTATGTTCCCCCAGCAGACAAGCAGTTGCATAAAGGAGTTGAGCAATTCATTTGCAGCATTGCCAGATGGGTTCATTCCCATCCCAGGAGTTGAAAAAAAAATTCACCTGCTTTGCTTTTTTCTTTTCTTCATGGTCATGAAAAGATCCAATTTAGGAAGACTTTCAAAAGCTCCTATTGTAAAAGTATCTGCATGGTATATGTGGGAAAGATCAAATTATATGTAGCCTTCCTCACAACCCCAGCAGAGAATGTGTTGGGTAATCAGGACAGAGATACCTATGGTATGATGTAGAAGAAAAAATATGACAGCTGAGGCAGGGTACTCAAAGTCCTGCCTCTGTGTGTTGACATATATGTGTATTTCACAAATGGATTGTAATATATAAGCTCAGTTTTTTGTTTGGCAGTTGCAGGAAAGAATGGAGGAAGCAATGGCATAAATACAAATATATTTCTCCTCCTCCTCCTCCTCCTCCTCCTCCTCCCTCCCTCCCCCTCTCTCTCTTTCTGCAATATCACTGCATTTATATATGGCAGAGGACAATTGTCCATTTCTAATACAATGACTTTTTTCTGATGAGCATGCACACTGACTGTATCTGCACAATCATACTTGGCTAACTTACTCATGCCATAATTATTATCCCAACTACTGGATTCCTTACACTGAATAAACTGTAAACAAGCAAATGAATCACAAAATAGCATATTAAATGGTAGTTGGCTAACTTGTAATTCAATGTATCTGTCAGGGTTCCAAGTAACACCCCCAATGCAAGAAGACCCCGAGATTAGAAGTTTCTCATAGTTCCATTTCAATACATTATTTTTTTTCTCATTTACAGCTCAGCTTGACTGAATTGTATTATAAAAATTTGATCAGTCCAATTGCAAGTCATGGAAGAGAGAGAGAGAGAGACCCCCAACATTATTTTAAAATGAACTCAAAGTTTGATGAAGAGAAGGAACAGAGAAGTTTATTCTGTTCCTTCTTTGGGCTGCTGTGACTTCAAAGAGCAATAAGAGAAAGTCAAACAGATGCTTTCTAGATATTTAAATTACAACTTTCAGAATCTCCCATCAGTGAATATGCATTTGGAAGACTCCTAATTTCTTACTGCTGAGAAAGATTTTACTGTAACAATTGTAAATCATGCTGCATCTTTTCAATTTCAGTTCATTTGCTTGTGTATGTTCACATTGATTGACTGACTGACTGATTGATTGAATGAATGAATGAATGAATGAATGAATGAATGAATGAATGAATGAATGAATGAAAATATACCCCCCAAAAGTAAAATCACTGGAATCTATACAATAATTTAGAGGGAAAAAAGGCAGGCAACCATTGACACTCATAGCTGGTATACATAGGAGACTATGATAAGACCAACAGAGTTTCATAAAGATTGTTATGGTTGGCAAACTACTGCAAAGAAATTAGTGGAAAAAATAATCAGACATGAAAAAATTACAGTACAAATGAAGCAAGCAAAATGCTCAAAAGTTATGGTATTTATGTAGTTACATACCAAGCAAATTATATCTAAATTATATTAAAGTAACCAAAATATTTTTAGAATCCCCAAGGCATGTCACAACTTTTGAGTACCCCGAAGATCTGGAAATTGAAAGCTGAAAAATTTGGCATGCCCTATGACAGGAAAAAAACCAGAATCCCATACTTAATTGTACAGCAAATCCATCAGCTTCTTATAACCCATTACAATGCTAAAAATATTGAAATTTTCTTGATTATTTCACTACTTTGAATTTTCAGTAGCAGATCCTATCATTGTGGTAGGTGAGAAAGATCATTAAATAAGTAGTTTGGTAAACTCAAGATGTCTTCATAATATAATATAAGGAAGATTTAAATAATATATACTACTGCCTCCAGTTCAGTATCTGAGCATGCAGAGAGGCCATTCTGATATCACATGTTATTATAGCCACCTCATGTCATCAATTGGGTCAGAAGAATATTATAAAAATATGTACGTATAACAAATTAAACCACCACAGTCTCAGGACAGTGAAATGTAAACATTTCAATCTTTTTTTGTATGCAGTCCTAATTTTAACAAACACTTGATCCCTCTCTGCAGTAGTTCGGATTATAAAATAAGTACAAAATTATAGAGACATCAAGCTTCAAAACATAATACACAAACTTTCAAGCACTTGCATGGTGAAGGCAATATAATACAAATGAAGAAAATGGGGCTATCGGTGGCTTCTTCCTTTGTGATTGTGGTGACTTGCACACAACACATATGTATACCTGCCTTTTGTGTCCTGATGACTCTATATTTGAAGACTTCATGCAGCATGATAGAATGAAATTGCTAGTTTCTGGGCAAGATTTGCTTAACTAGTACATATGTTCATTTTATATTTTAAATGTTATGTTGTGCAGTACGCCTTCTTTTAATTATGTTTCTGATAATAAACAAACACATGTAGAAGCACCATAATTTACTTTAGAACTTTTCCTGGACACTCTCTTCCTATAATAAGGCAGATAATCATAACACTATTGGACATACATTTTTGGAGGTCCAGAATTGATGAGCTCAATTTTATCTTCCAGGCGGGGGTAAAGTTATGAGTATCTGCCAGGTAAAATTGAGCTCACCAATTCCGGAACAGAACATTCAATAAAATGTCTGGAGCCCTTTGTTTCAACTCCAGACCAAGATGGATTTCCTCTGGGACTGTGCCTTTGTGGAGTTGGCAAGTAAATTGTCCACATTAGAAGAAAGTCGAAGTAACCTAGATGTTTTGTATTAGGAAAAGTGGTCAAATGTGGTTGGGAAGAAAAATACATCAGAACATTCCATTGTTCTATTCCTAATGACAAGCAATGGAAAGAGAAATTATCCAAAATATATGGGAGAAATCACAAAGCAACAACACTGAAAGGGAAGCTGAATGATCCAATTGATAAAACCCAATCTCCCAAATTGTAGGATTAAAAGTGTGAATGGGTAGGCTATCTAAAAATGAGGGAATTCCTTAATATTAGAGTATTTACTAACAAATTCATTGATTAGGAGCCAGGGACTTAAACGTCTCTCCAAATGCATGTAGCTAAGGTAAAAATGAGGTGATATCAACCACTAACAGTGATTTGGCTCTGCATTCAATTTCTTTCCTTTCAACTTTTGTAATGCGGCCAGCTACCAATGTTAACTTCCAATTCTCCTGTGTTAATGTACATATACATAAGCAGGAAGTTCTGGAAATTGCAATGCTGGTTCTGAAAATACTACTGGGAGTTACATCCAGCTTCTAGTACTCTGAATATTGGCTCAAGCTGGAACAGTCCAATAGTATGTACTCTTGGATCAAACCTTTCCTTTATATTCTGTGTGACTGCAGCAGGTTTCATTCTCTCCTCCTTCAAAGGCAAGACTCTGAGCCAAGTTTAAATTGACAGGTGCTGGTTTAATCATTTTCAGAACAGGGGGTGATTAAAAATATCAGTGCCAGTTGCTGGGTTCCAGAGCCATTCCTTATGATCCTTTTGCAGAACTAGTTTCTCCCTTTGCTAATTACCAACAAAAGTAGAACAAAATGGAATGGAATAGAATAAAATAGAATAACAAAGTTGGAAGGGACCTTGGAGACCTTCTAGTCTAACCCCCTACTTAGCCAGGAAACCCTACACCACTTCAGACAACTGTTATCCAACATCTTCTTAAAAACTTCCAGTACTGGAGCATTCACAACTTCTGGAAGCAAGTTGTTCCACTGATTAATTGTTCTAACTTTCAGGAAATTTCTCTTTAATTCTAGGTTGCTTCTCTCCTTGATTAGTTTCCACCCATTGCTTCTTGTCCTGCCCTCTTGTACCTTTGGAGTTTGACTCCCTCTTCTTTGTGGTAGCCGCTGAGATATTGGAACACTGCTATCATGTCNACTAGTTTTCAATTGTATTCATCAATCTGAGCCAGTTCCAAATTATATATATTACTATCCATATCAGTCATTATTCAGCTATATCTATTACCAATTGAAGTAATCCAATTTAGCTAATTTTAGGTTGTATTCTCCCATCTGTCAGCCTGTGTCCCTCCAACAACGAGATTTCCTCAGTCCAATAGCCATTCGTTGGATAAATTTACCAAATGTTTCCATAAGCAAATCCAAACAAAAATATTTCGGCACCTTTGGATTCTGAATGTCGGTGATGAAATAATAATGTTGTCCTAGGTTTATAAAGTTTTCCAGATTAACTTTAATTCTCAAGGGTGGATTTTCCATTCCTCCTGTGCTTCTTCGTGTTCTTGGCCACCGTAATGATTCTGGTCTGGTCTGGGCTGCTTTAGTAACTCCTTTTTGTTCCTAGCTCCTGTGGCTTTTTTTGGCCTCACATCCTTGTCCCTGGGAACTGCCTCTGTCTGTTTTCTCTCTTTTTCTCTTCCTTTCTTCCTCTCTTCCTTCCTTCCCTGGCCCGGTGTGTGGCTGAGTCTCTTTGTTCGGCTTGGGGGCATTGCTATGTTTTTTTTTTCCTGTTTGTTCAGTGCTGTCCTTCTTTTTCTTGACTTAGTGTTTTTTTCTTCTCTTTTCCTTCCCCCTCTTTCTTCCTCTCCATTTTGGCACGTTCCTTTCATCTATCTTCATACATATATCAACTCCTCCCTTTATCTCCCCTCCTTCCATCCAACCCTCTTATCTTTCTCTCTTTTTCTGTCTCTCTCTCTCTCTCTGTTGCTCCGTCTCTGCTGCCTTCTATAGGTCGTCCACGTGTCCCACTCTGCACCAGTACTGCTGCTCTGCCCAGTCGCTTCTCCACTCGCAACTAGCTTCCCCTGCCAGGCACACAGGCTGCAGGTAAGCCACTGAGAACCCCCCACCCACCCACCCACCCACCCAACGTCCTCACTCAAAGCCATCGTCATATCTTGACATGCCACCTGATCCACAAATCCAGCATCCCTTAGAAGGTTTTTGAGGCAGTGGTGGGGTGGAGCGGAAAATGCCTTCTGGCAGAGGAAATGTGTTGGTCTACCATTTCCATCATTCACAGCCTGCAGCCCAAGGAGGGAAGGAGACTTGACAGCACTGAAAAGCTTGGTGTTTCTGGGATCTTCCTCACTCTTGGCAAGCAATTCTGATCCCCACCCCTCCAGGTCAGGATTCCAGAATTCCACGGCCACCAGGATTCTGGAGTTCCATGACAGCTTTAGGTAGGGACCTCCGCCAATCCACATTTAGGTGGGTCCTGGATGGGATATTTTCAGAAAGTTGCCTTCTTTCCAGGGGTGGGTTTCTCGCCCCGTTCCAACTGGTTCGGTTGGAACGGGGCCGGCGGCATCCTCGTGCACGCGCGCG